ACCCAGTTCTTTACACTGTAAAAAGTCTTCTCTTCAAAACAAAAGGAGAAAAACAACAATAAAGTCAGGAAACATTACACAAGATGTGATAAAGTACCTGCCAGCAAGTAAGTCCCTCAGATCTTTTAAGAATAGGTAAAAATATCTGATCCATGGTTTACCAAAAAATATCTTCAAACTATGATAACATATAACTGTAAATGACAGACCTGGCAGAGACGTCAACTCAGGACTAAGTCTGACACCTACCCCTCCAAAGCAAGTTCTGACATTTGAAATTACTTTCTAGAAATAATCAGTCTTTATGCTGATGGTCGGGTTTCCTTTTACAGGTCATTAAAAAGGCATCATTAATAATATCAGTCTCTTTTACAACAACCCAAAAGCGCCTCACAGGACCTTTAAGAAAACGACTTAGGGGTATAGTAGAACTGTACAGAGTTAAAATAATTAATGGTGTTTTCCCCAAATATGAAAAGTGTGCAGTTGTTTGAGATTGACCCAAAAAAAATCCTTAATTTCTTTCGTAAATTTTCTGTTCTGAATGTGCTAAATGTTTGATTTGTACCTGTCAGTTTGAATCCAATGCTGCTCATTTAAGTATCAAGCATTAACTTACTGAGAAACCGTCGGTTCATTTATTTAGTCTCATTAAAAAAATAAAAACCGCCTGACATAAAGGAACAAACTCTAATTGTTTTTACTAAAGAGATTAATCGTACTTAAATTCACTTTTTTTTTTGCAGTGTAAACATCACATTCACACAGGCGCTTAACGGTCACAGGGGACATGTTCCTTCTTGAAGCAACGGAGCTCCAGAAAAATAATCACAGGTGTCATCCAATTAACAGTTTACCTTAAAAAAAAGAACTCCGAGCTGTGTGAGATGTGTGCTGCAGCCAGCAGGGAGGATGAAACTTACACTGCCTCCACCCAGCCCAACTCTTCCCCGCCTTAATCAGCACTCAAGGCGCCATTATCTCCCCCAGACATGGAGAGTGTTATTAATGTGTCCATTTGGCTTCTGCCCCTGAGAGGGGAAATGGAGGAGAGGCGTAATGGAGCTCTCTCTCTCTCTCTCTCTTTCTGTAAAGAGATGGAAACCCTGCTGCTCGGCCCCCTCCCTCCCCCTGCAGGACGCCGCCTTTAACTGTGCTGCTCAAATCCCAGACATGTCGTGATGGTATCTGTCGTTACAATCATACTCACAACTGTACTCATCAATACAACATAACATCTCCTCTGAGAGCTGCAGAGTACACACTGCAAAAACTGACATGTAGTATCTCATATCAAGGGGATATATGAGCTGGTCTTTTGAATGTTATCTATCTATCAATATTTTAATACTTTTTTATAACTTGTAAATTAGATTATCTAAAATTAAGAGAATTATAAAGCTGTTTAATCAACATAGATTCCAAACTGCTTCGTCAGAGAGCAGTTTCCACACATGCACTCCTGAAGATATCAGAACAGGCTGCCTCTGAAAATCTGCCTGAGATGCTTGTTCACATAATGCACCTCATAGTGTGAAGGTTTACTTTGTGGGAAAGGGTGGGGTGCGTGGGCCAGGGGGCTCAAAAGTGAAGCCACAGTGTAGAAAAGATGCTGCAGTGATCCGCATTGACGGATGAAGCGACAGAGTGGAACAAGTGGAAAATGACATTGTGGCGAGCAGACAGGGGCATCTGTCATCACCAAGGGGTAACAAAAATGAAGCCAATTGAGGAAGTGTAAAACCCTGCAGTTCGTCGAGTGTCCACTAGAGGCTGGCTCCAGGAACACAGGAAGTCACATACACACAACAGCCAAAAAAAGGCGTTTTTTACAGAATAAATAAACATGTTTACAGCCTGCTACAAAAACTAAATAGGTCTCCTTGGTTTTTTTTTTAAATCTTGGCAAAGGGCTGTTTTGTATTGTATTCCTTTCATTCACATGTTTTTGAGAGTGTGTGTCTGCTGAAATCGACTCCCCGGTCGGTTGCCAGCTGACATCAAATGACCTACAATGATAAAGCATGGACTCTTTTGTAGGCATCATCGAGTTGATATCAGGTTCTTATAGTCCCAATCTTGTGGTTTAAGAGAGCTTTTGACTCATCGGAGTTGATCTCCATTAGCTTTGCCACAGCTCACCTCTTCCTGCACTGGAGTGAAATCTTTGACAAGCTGCTTCCCAGAAGTAACATGAATACACACTGATATAACCCATGAAATGCCTTTGATTCAATAGTCCGTAATGTGTCACATGCTGGCTTATTAGAGTAAATTGAATCATTCCCTGATATTTCTACAGTATCAGAAGCACTAAGCGGTTGTTTTCTTAAAGTGATCAGTCTAATGTATCTGGATGTATTAAAGACGAGATAAACTCTCTTATCGAGCTCACGTCGATGTAATCTGCGCTCGACAGATGTCCTGATTCATCATCAGATAAAATGCTTATGTGTTTTGCCTGTTTGGATAGAAACTGAAGTCTTTAGGGCAGATAATGACGATGTGATCATTACACTCTGCTCTGTTTGTGAACACTGTATACTTCAGCCTCTAAAGCTTAAAATGGCTGGTGAGTCCATGATGTCATCTGTGCAGGATTTTGTTGTGCGTGTCTCCCTCCAGTGGTCGGGGGGAGGCAAAGTCACAGGACAAAAGAAGAGGAGGAAATTAAATGGTATAATCCTGCTGTGTGTCAGACTGACAGACTGTAAACCCACTTTACCGGGACACTTCACATTATGGTTGTCGTGGAAACAACATTTAACACTTTGATGTGATCCTTGGATAAAAATCAAACTATATGGATGCCTTGTTTTATGCAGCAACAAAAATAGAAGTCATACGCACCACATTGTGTATTTTCTTTGTTGGATTATGCACACTGTCTAAATTGCACATATGGTATTGGCAATGTCTTTTGTTCAGATCTGTTGTTGATGTATTTGTGCAATTCAGACAGTAGCTGCACGCATGCTTGCACCAAGAAGTTGTGCGCAGACAGCCGCATATTTCAGTCAGACTCTATCCGGAGTATATGAAATCTAATCTAATCTCATGTCAAACTTTTATATGAAGACGATTGGAGGATCATTCACAGATTTTGATTGAAAGCTTTGCAGTTGTTAATAAATAAATGTTTAAAGTTTTTAAAAGTCTGTTACAATATACTTCACATGTCAAACTACTTTTTTCAAAAGCTGGACATTTTTAGTTTGCAATTTCTTTAAAGCTCCTGTGAGGAACTTTAAGTTTGTGTCGATTTTGGCGCCCCCTGTCCATGAAGCGGTGTATCTCATCTCTAAAATGATTTTTTTCCTGTAAATGTGTAAGTCGTGTTTTTTGATGAAACACTTCACCCTGCTTTCTGATAACAGTCAAAAGTGAACCGCTGTGAATCTTTGCAGCGTAAACAAAGGCCGATTCTGTAGCGTGCTGTAACTCACCTATTCTGACGCCTACCTGAAGTTACAAGCATCGAATATTAGGATATAAAATTTAGCAGTCATGTTGCTGTTGGTCTTGTTTGCTCCTTGAGGTCATAGAGAAGCATCAGCATTGATTTCATAACCAGATAAAAGCTCCTCTCATCAGCTTTAAAACAAAAACTAAAGCTTGAATTGAGATATTCAGAGGATATGAATGAATTACCTTAATTCTAAACACTTGAAATACAAGAACCCTTATAGATCTATAACAGGGGTGGGCAACTGGCGGCCCGGGGGCCACATGCGGGCCCCATCAACCCTCAACATGGCCCTCAGGTCAATTTTTACATATCAATTAATTGGAAACATGAAGAAAACATGATAAAATCTGCCATTAAATCATAAAAAAAAAACAGAAATATGTCCATAATATTTAATCGCTGGTATATGTTAAGTTTAATCTGAGACATAATTGATTGTAATTGTTTTGTTACACCACTATTTGGCCCTCTGACAGTGAGAATTAAATGAATGTGGCCCTTGCTGTGACCAAAGTTGCCCATCCCTGATCTATAAAGACAATAATATGTGTAAACATGGGTTTTATTTGAATGAAAAAGAGGAACAGTGTATTTAGTATTGCAAGAGATTATGAACACTATTTCCTTTAGATGATATCTGACTTGATAATGATTTACCAGCATGTTGAATGTTTGCCCTTGTCCTCACACAATGTTTTCCTTGGAGCAAATTCATTATTCTGAATGTTAACTAACCTTGGTGTTGCCTCCATGCTGCATTCAATGACACTGTCAAAGCATGGTCGTTACTTTACACCCTGTCAGAGGTGTTAATGCCACACACACACACACACACACACACACACACACAGTCCTTCAGTGTTTACAAACAAGTGGCCTACAGATGGCAGGGGTCAGTCACCCCGATGATAACAAGGCCTGCAGACAGGGCGGCTCAGGATTACAAAGCCTGCAGATAACCTGAAGCAGTTTCTGTCTGTCACTCTGGCATGGCAACCAAAATATATTTTTGCGCTGATTACAGATTGTAAATAATCATTTAAAACAAGCCAACCTCATTATTGCAAAGTAAGATGCTGCAAAGAGGGACACTTCTTAAACCAGACATGGATTCTGTAGTGGAAGAGGAAGACCTACATGTAATGTGGATTTGCGCTGTAGCGACTGTGGAGCTAAAACAAGCAAAATCCTGCATAAATATCTCAAACATTTGCTTGTTTCCTGCTTAAAATCCGCGATTACACGGTGGTGTCGACGAATAATCCCAGTCGGTCGATTATCTTCCGGTGTGGCGGTTACGGTGAGTGATTGCACGTGTAAACCGGTTGATCCCGTCCCCCTTCTTGCGATCGGTGTAAAACTCCCATGTTTTCTTTTTCACCGGGCAGCATATGCGCGTATCGCTACTCACCAACCGACCTTGAATCTGTCCTCGGATTTAATCCTCGCGTGTGATTGGTCGCCGCGGCGGGGCTGCCTCGGCGTCCTTGATTCGGATTGGTTGAGCGCGCTTGTCGTTTGGTTGGCTCTCTCCGCTTTACCCTTTCTCTCGGCGGTGGGTCGGAGCCGCTGTCCCTAGCCTCGCATGTTCCCCTCTAAATTCCTGTTTTGAATTCGATGCCCCTCTTGTACATTTGATCCATTTTCACGGCACCGCCTGTACACCGGTGTTTCAACCCCCTCCCCCCCCCCCTTCCCCACCACCACCACCACCCCTGTATTCGTCGTTAGGAGACCCTTAACCCCCACAACATGGCCGTGGTGAGCGGATCGTCTGGGCCGGTTGCCCGGCTCGAGGGCCGTGAATTCGAATACATGATGAAAAAGCGCTCGGTGACCATCGGCCGGAACTCGTCTCAGGGCTCCGTGGACGTGAGCATGGGCCACTCGAGCTTCATCTCCCGGCGGCACCTGGAGATATTCACCGCCAGCGACGACGGCACCGGCAGCGGGGACTTCTACCTGAGGTGTCTCGGTAAAAACGGGGTGTTTGTAGACGGAGTGTTCCTCCGACGGGGCGCCCCTCCTCTGCAGCTCCCGCGAATGTAAGTGAACACATGTGGATGCTAAGCTCCAGTAGCCGCGACCACTCAACAACATTTGACTTGTTTCTTTTTTAGTGTTTTTCTTTTTTTTACATTAACCGGCAGTAAGAAGAGGACCACGTGTTTTAGCATGTTAGCAAGAAGTCCGCATCCTGTCCTCTATGCCATTTTCTTTGTTGACATTTTTTTTTGTTAGCAACGGGGTCACTTAGCCGCCTGCCTTCTTCCCACATTCCCCTCCTGTGGTTAACTTCGCGTTAGCCGCATACCACCGTGTCCACCATACTACGATGTGGCTTAAATACCCCCAAAACCCCTCACTTAAAGTGACGCTATTGTTGTTATTTATTAGTGGTAGCCTTTCTGTATTTCCCCCCCTATACAGTCAGAAAATGTTTATCCAAATGGAAGTGCAAAACATTCATCTTTGTTTTCATGGCAAACATGGCAGCTAGGTGGCTGAGCTAGCCTGTAGCTTGTTTCTGTTAGTTGTGAATGGAGCTCCTCTCGACCCCTAAACGTAAACAAACCAGTCCGTCCCCGCCCTGCCGGCTCACAACACCACAGCCTGCGGGACCTTTGGCCTCCATTCAAACCAGCTCCAAGTCAATAGAAGTAGTTTATTTAACCAGCTATTCTCCCACGACAAACATTAAACATCATTTTTGGTCTAATATTTACTTTTTTTTTTTTTTTTTGTTTTTTTTTGCACCCATAGAGGTTCAGCTTCAGTTGTTTTGTTGTCACTGTTTTAAAGGTGCACTATCAGCTAAGCTGCAAATAGGACAGATTTTAAAAAAAAAAAAAATTACCTGCTGCAATTGCACTTTATAACGATTCCTTTTTTTAAGTAAGGACAGAAGACTTTTAAACTTTAGCCTGAGTTGCATATATCAAACTGTATTGTGGGCTCATGTTTTTTGTATGGGTGGGATATGTTTGTATATGTGTGTGTTGTGTGTTTGTATGTATGCTGGCTGCTGGAACACCTACATTTCCCTGCTGGGATGAATAAAGTATATCTTATCTTTATCTTATCTTAAGTTGGAGATGGCAAACAATTATTTGCTATATTTTCTGAATTAAATGCACAAACTTTATTTAAAAAAAAAAAAGTTCCGGACACTGTTTGGAGCTAAAAAACAAAAAGCTACCAGGAGAGTTACGGTGTCACTTAGGGCTGGGAAATGTATCGCATTTTTTAAGATATATCGATATATTTTCAAACAAGAATACAGGGTAAGACAATATCGTTAATATCGATATAGTTTAAGTTGCGTTAAAATAACGTTCTGGAGGTGCCAGGTCACTTTTTTCTCATCTCACTGATGATGACTGACTGTCTGTCCCTCTTATCCCTGCTCCTCCTCTCTCTCTCTTTTATTGTATTTAAGGAACAATTTTATTTTATAATATTACTTTTTAAATTCACAAACAGGTAGTTTATTTTACCATGTGTTTTCACTGTTAATAAAAGGCGTATCGATATATATATCGAGTATCGCCATTCAGATAAACAATATCGAGATATGAGTTTTGGTCCATATCGCCCAGCCCTAGTGTCACTGTTGCGGGCGTCCCACCATAACTTCTCGTGTAACGTTTTATCTTCAAACAGTTTCACATTTTCCTCCGAGGACAGTTTGTGTATGGAGTTATGAACATATATCACTTAATCTTTACAGTTTTCCAACTTTCCTATTTCTCTACCAAAACTTCACAGTGCACCTTTAAATTGTAACATGATCGATGATATGCTGTTTCCAAACAAACATTTCAGTACATAAATTCAAAAAACTTTATCTGTCCCCGGGGGGCAATTCAGAGGCACACAGAGCAGTAAATTAACAACAGTGCAAGTACGAAACCTTTTAACCTAAATATAAAGTGTCAATTTAAACTTAACTTCAAAATACAAAATATAAAAAGAGTAGATATAAGTGGACAGTGATCGGACTAACAGATGCAATCAGAACTATGTGCAGTAAACAAGAACTAAATAAATAAATATATATATATACACACACATACAGAGCTATGTGCGAGATAAATATATATATACCGTTATAATAATGTTATTAATAGGCTGTAAAACTTCTGGCATCTATTTTCCAGTAAATATGTGCTCGGTCTGGGATTAAAAACAACAACATTTCACTGAATGATGCCTTAGAGAAAAGACAGAATTATTGACATAAAACGGAGTTAAAAGTCAAGCTCTGCTCGTGTTGAAATGCTAAATCCATTAGCCAAAAAGTAGCCAACCATTTAAAAAAATTAATTTTAACTGTGATTTAAATTGTTTATTAAAATAAAATAATGATGGAACGTGATCCAAACTAAACAAAAAGTGAAGAATTGATATTTAGCTGTTTGTTTATTTTTGTAAGCTAGAGTTATTCCCTGCGGAAAATTCAAATATTCACAAATGTGTTGGTCTAATTTCTACTTAAAAACATGTCATTACACTCAATAAGTCTCCTTCACCTGACACGTCTGGATAAATGTTGTTTCAGGATTTCACAATCAGGAAAAAAAGGCCTGAACTGCTTGTAGTGGTATTTTAATTTAAAACAGATTATTTGTTAAGTTTCTTAAAATATCATAGACCTAATTAAACAAAACTTACGTACAATTTCAAGTAAACATTTAAATAAACTTGATACGATTTAGGTTTTGCAGGTTTGGACTTCTTATTTACGAGAAATATATTTTTTGTAGGGATGAATTTAAAAATCTTTTCTCTTTTAGACGGTTGAAATGATAAATTTTTTTTTTGCAAATTTAGTCAAACTATCAGACCAAAAAAAAAGTCAAACATTTTGCTTGTTTCGGCTCATTAAAATAACAGTTTGCTTCTTTTCTCTTTAATTTGATTGGACGTTCAGTCTTTTTTTTTTTTTTTTAGGGTGGGGTGCACTGCTATCTGAACGTTACAAATGCTTCTTTTCTCTTTAATTTGATGGGACGTTCAGTTTTTTTTTTTTGGGTTGGGGGAGTGCACTGCTGGCTGAACGTTACAAATGCTTCTTTTCCCTACAGCGTGCTGTGAGGAAATGAAACTTAAAGTTTTCACCATCTCTGACATTTCAAAAGGTGATCAACCTCACATATTTCACAATCAAGTGGAACTACAGAACATAATATGGGGTTAAGAAACTTGTTTATGTGTTTCACACTTCACAGTAGCCCTTTTTTTTGTTCCTTCTGTTACTCGTAATGTAGTCGAACCTACCAGTGTCCCTCTGTCAACACAGGCCTGACTCTCTGCTATTGTGCAATCCCTCAATGTGAAACCACTTTTCTTTTATGTGCACAAAGAACAAACTTGTTTTGACTTGACGCAATGTTTGCACCACTAAGTTTGGTTGTTTTTTTTAACAGAAATATGTTCTGCAGCTGCGTTAGATTTTCACTAGCTGTTGAATCAATTGTTGCGCTGCTGTTAGCCACATTGTACATACATTAGCGGTGCATTTCATTAAGTAGGCACAGCCGAGGAACCAGGACAGAGTGGTTTTTAAGGTTCATGTATTGATCAGGTCTGCAGCCAATAAAGAGCTTTTAATCAGCGGCAGTCTTTACTACATGCACGTTCCACAAGCAAGGTACCACCTAGCCAAGGCTCATGTGCTTTACTGTAATCCTTGAGCTATAGAGGACACCTAAACAACCCTGACTGTCTGTGATAAGAGCCCAAGATTGACAGCATGAGAGAACTCGCAGAGCCGCAGCCCAGGGGCCGGCCTCGCTTGTATTCCAGGGATTCCTCTTTGGTGATGTAAACAGACTGAGGAGAAAGAAGCAGCTTTCCCTTCCCCTTTTTTTTCTCCTCCTCCCTCCCCCTTCCATGTCCTCTCCCACACCCCGCACATTCTCCCCAAAGTTGGTGCTCTTCCTGTCTTGCCGTCCTCTTTTGTTTACATTCTGTTTTTCTCCGAGGGGGGGAGAGGGGGGGGAGACGATCAAGTGAGAGTTTTCAGTCGAATGGGCTTTTGTTTGTTGTCGATCTCACAGCTTAGCAGCGTAGCAACAGTGCTTTAAAAAAAAAAAAAACAAGTTTAGGCCTTGTTGTTCATTGGGGGGGAAATGGGGCGTCTAAAGAGGCTTCAATGCCTGCAAACTTTGAGGGGGTGTTCGATAACTTTTCGTATCATTTAACCTCAATCAGACTGTTTAAAAACGTGAAGTGATTGGTTTATAATTTGACGGTAGGTCGACCATTTAGCAGATATTTCCACATTTGATCATAAAGCTTTCTCACTATAACCTCTTTTGAACTTCCTGAATATTCAAATATCATGGCAATAAGATAAATAGATATCAACATTGTCTTACCACATTAATCCAAAATAATCAGAAAGTCCAGCAGGACCCATTCAGCAAAACACTTTGTCCTTATATCTAATATACTGGATTTAATCGACTGACCATGTAATGAACGATACAAAGAACAACCAGTGGGTTAGTTGATTATGAGACACAGGACGAGTAACAGTTACGACTCAGTTTACATCTATTAGAGGTGAGAATCTTCAGAGGCCCCACATATTATCACAATACTCGAGCCACAAAGCGATATTATTGCAGTACAAACAATTTTTTATCTTAATCACCAATAGCATCGCAAATCGACCAAAGCTGAAAAAGAAAAAGTGAAGAATTGATATTTAACTGTTTGTTTATTTTTGTAAGCTAGAGTTATTTCCCTGCGGAAAATTCAAATATTCACAAATGTGTTGGTCCAATTTCTACTTAAAAACATCTCATTACACTCAATAAGTCTCCTTCACCTGACACGTCTGGATAAATGTTGTTTCAGGATTTCACAATCGGAAAAAAAGGCCTGAACTGCTTGTAGTGGTATTTTAATTTAAAACAGATTATTTGTTAAGTTTCTTGAAATATCATAGACCTAATTAAACAAAACTTATGTACAATTTCAAGTAAACATTTAAATAAACTTGATACGATTTAGGTTTTGCAGGTTTGGACTTCTTATTTACGAGAAATATATTTTTTGTAGGGATGAATTAAAAAATCTTTTCTAGTAGAAGGTTGAAATAATAAACATTTGTTGCAAATTAAGTCAAACTATCAGACCAAAAAAAAAAGCAAACATTTTGCTCATCAAAATAACGGTTTGCTTCTTTTCTCTTTCATTTGATTTGATTTGATTTGGCCCTGCAGGTCTTCAGTCATATTTTTAAGCAAAAGCTGCTGTGAGCGAATAAAAGAGAGCGATGACTAAATTGCTCAAGTACGTTGGCAACACAACGATGCAGTGTAGTCCATGTGCAGGAGCTTAGATTATTTATTTGAGTAATTAAACCAAGAAACGATCAAATGTCTGTTGCCATGGTCTCATGTTTTTTGCCACCATGTTATGGACGCAGAAATCGATTAGTGATGATTTTTATCACATCTGGTTTAGAGACAGGCCCATGAAGGTATGAGTTTTCCCTGCAGTGATTTATGGCTTCGACTGTTCTCAGACTTTCTACTGCGTCCTCAGCAGTCAGTGTAAAGTCCTCCGGTTTAATATTCAGTTAACTGTTGGCTCAGAGGGCGGACAACAGGGCTTGTTCATGTTTGTATCCCAGCATACAGCTGTGACATCATGTTGACATACAGAAAGAACTGAAAGGAGCAGCACTGTTTTTTAAATATTTTATCATTTTATGGAGCCGTCAGTTACATACAGAATCACTCCGATGTTATTCAAGGATCCACTTCCCTGAAAGGGAGCTCCAAGGCGAGTGTCTCCCCTCGGCTCCAGGAAGAGTTTCGGTCTCCCCTCCTGTGAGCTCCAAAGCCGATCGGAGATGTAGGTGTTCTGGGAAACGGGTTCTCTCGGCAGACGGCAGCTCTGTGAGGGAAAAGTTAAAGCCGTGCCTGGCAGTCTTTAAATCGAAACCAACCAGCGCCCGCCCCGTCTCCAGAGTGTCAGACTGTCTGATCCTGACAGGGGATTTAGGAGAGTTTCCTCTTTTCGCCGTTATCTGTTTGAGGTCTCCCTGGATGGTTTCATCCCATCATTACCTATTAATGAGGATAGTAACCCACGGATGAATCTGTTTTTACCACATCAAAAAAGTAGTTCAATCATTTAAAGGAATCCGCCCTGATGCTCGTTCAGTTTCTGGTCGGCGTTGTCCTCACATTCCTCAGTCTGTGAATTCTGCTGCAGATCTGACAGGAGCGATGTGAGAGATATGCAATCATTTTATTGATTTTACCGAGGGTCGATTTTTGGAAGTTATGAATCTATTTCAAATCTCAGAAGATAAGAATCTGGATTTTTACAAAAATCTATTTTTTCCCCACCCCTCCTCACAACACCTGTTTTTGTTTTTATAATCTTTGGTTGGATTACGAGATCCAAAGAGTCCGCTTTACGGCGCTATAATGAGAATATTAGCCTGTATATCAGTGATTGGTGTAGTTCTGACAGAATCATGATAACAATAAAAGAGAGACGAATGAACTACTGGAGAACAGAAAACAAAATTCATCTGTTTGATTATACACATGCAGATCATGTCGGTCGTTACAAATCGAAGAAGTATTGGAAAAAACGCGTTCAGTGCGGTGTGTGTCAGCACCTTTGAATAATATTGCACATTAAATGTTACTGCATGCTGAATATTGTTTAGATGCAGCAAATCATCACTCAGAACCAATCACCATGCTGTAGAGAGGAGTGATTTTTTTAAATTCCTGACATGGTGCTGAGGCCGCTGCTCTTTCAGCAGGTTTTTTTTTTTAATGCACCACTCTTTCCCTAATTTAGGCCGCTCCTCCGCTGAGACCACCGCTTCTCCAAACACGGCCTCATCAGAGCAGCTCCGGCCTGTGCTTCAGTCCTCTGCAGCGCTTTCCTCAAAACCATTTCTAATAAAACTTCTGATATCTTCAGTCCGCGTTAGCACCAGTAATCAAATTTAATGATCTAAAATATTTTCTCTACCAGTGATTGAAATCCAGCCAATATTTCTACCACAGTTCAGGTTTTTGTGCCATATCAAGTTATCAAGGCACTCGCTGATTTGATTTGCTTTTCAGGAGTTGTTTTCACCGTCTGTTGCCTCTGCCTGTGTCTGAGAGTTACACTTCTTTAAACCCCCCCCTCTGTGTGTTTTGTCTCCTGCGTCTTGTCTTGCAGGTGCACCTTCAGGTTCCCGAGCACAAACATTAAGATCACATTCACGGCCCTGTCCAGCGGGAAGAAATTTAAGCGCGAGGCTCCGGAGTCGCCGGTGAAACCAGTCCAGCCGCAGATCTCCCCCCTCACCATCAACATTCCAGACAACATCGCTCACCTCATGAGCCCCCTGCCATCGCCCACGGGCACCATCAGGTACGCAACACTGCTAATTGTTAGGTTATAACCAACCACGAGTTTCTCTCTCTTACCTAAAGAAAGCATAGCTACTACTAGAGATTCAATCTGAAAATGAATCCATGAATGGGATCAGATTATGGTTTTAGGTGACGTTTAGTTCAAGAGTTTTATACCATGGCCCTATTTTCACATACCGTAAAATCTGGTTGTATATTACCCTCTTTAATATCTATTTTTTAAATCTAGAAACTGTCTGTTTCCTAAATACTGTTGCACTCAATATACCAGTATAAATGACTTCTAGAGCAGCAGCTTGCACCATCACACATTGCACACAACCTGACGCTATGAAAACTCGCCCCTGTTCATTCCCCCTCATGAGCTCATAATCATGCATTTCAAGAAACCAGTGCTGCTGGTTGAATTGAAAGACTCCTAACTCATAAAAGTCAACGAGCAGCCAGCTGAGGAGGGCAGCACGACATGTTGGGCTGCGGATCCGTACTCTACAACTTTCACTGCAGGCTGAGAGCTCAACCACCGTAATGTAGCTGGTAGGAGTGCCAACTAAATGCAGAAAGGTTTCAAGACCGACGCAGAACTGGCTAAACACTGAAGCTTCCTCGTCCGTGGCATGGCAACCTGCGTTCACATCGAGAAAGCTCTAGACTCTTCTCCTCTGTCGCCCCCTGGTGGTGGAATGAACTTCCAAACTCCATTCGATCTGCAGAGTCCCTCTGCACCTTTAAGAAAAAGCTAAAGACCCAGCTCTTTCATGAATACCTACTAACTTAATGATGATGGTCTCCATATTATTGATGATGATGATGGTAATGACGATGGTTTTTGTTTGATAACGACGACTTATAAGATGGTTTCTATACTGATTAGAGCTCTCAAGAACTGCCCTCAATGTTGTGCTTTGCCTCTGGTCACTTCCTGTCAGCACCTGTGTGTCCAATCAGACTCAAAGCTGATCGTTTGCTCTTACTGACATTGTTCCCTTATGTCTAGATCCTTGCTTGTGTTGTTCTTACTCTCTGATGTACGTCGCTTTGGATAAAAGCGTCTGCTCAGTGAATTGTAGAAGCTCTCTCCAGTGTTTTGAATTTTGACTGCAGTACTAACTTAAAACACTAGGTGTCAGAGTTACGTATTGCTCCTTTAAAGAGAGTGACGGAAAAGCTCTTTCTAGTTGTAAAAAAAAGTAATTTCTTAAGTTTAGTGGAACTTTGAGTGTCAACACAGGGATTGCATAGCAGCCGTTCAGGACAGTCTCACGGCTGCAGCCAAAACATTTGAGCCTTCTAAGCAGTTAGACCCCAAAACATGTTTAAAACAGGGGGCTTGTTTATCTTTTAAAAAAAAAGATTGTTTTTCTGATTTTATTTTTTTTTTTAATCCTCCTGGTTTTATTTTCTAACTTGTCTTTGTCAGATATTGGCATACCAGAGGCGATGTCAGAATTAGAATGTTTCAATTTACAACGACGATGTCAATAAATAACAATAAGTGTTATCACCCCAACATTTCAAAAGAAAAGGACTGAGCAAAGAGTAGGACTCGTTTCCACAAATTCTCTTCTTAACACATCCAAGAAAAGCCGCTCCCCCCCCCCCCCCACCCCCGAGCTGACCTTGAGCTGTCAGCTGACCTTGACATGGCCGCCCCTGTGCCGTGATCAGCTTAGGCTTAGTTCAGAGAGTACAGGGCTCAGAGAGGCACACTTAGATCCTCTCAACCTCTGATCTCAGACAGATGGCTTCGAACCAACAACCTCTGTCACACATTTAAAAGGTGAATCCAACAAACCTGTTTGCAGTCAGTCGACAAACAGCGGAGGTGATGAAAAGAGGCCGCAGGTTAAAGAAAGCACACATTTGGATCCGGAGCTGCTGCCCCCTTTTATTTGATCCACAAGCATCTCCAGAGTTCCCCCGAGTGCTAAAAAACGATCCAGCATGGAAATGATCCGTTACATGAAGCCTGCTGCTCATTCTCTCTGTTTCATAGATAATTAGAATGAATGAATAGTTCAATGCCTTGTTGCTATAGGCCTGATTGTAAAGGTTGCAGTGTTTCTAAGGAGGCAGAGTGATTTGCATAGATGTGGGCCAAAAGTAAGCCACTGCACCACAGACTGCAGATGAGCCCAAACCAGGGACACATCGGTGTGTTCTTACAGTAATGTCAGGCGGCGGCTTCAACTTCAGTAGAAACAAGATGCACGTTCATTTGCCCCCCCTTTTTTTTTTTTTTTACAATCCTTTAGAAAATGGTGCACTTGGCTGTCCAAGTGTTGGAATAAATGAGGACTGAAGAAGTCCACAGCTGCAGCCTTAATGCACAAACATGCCCCTAACTGGTGGATTCACACGTTTATTTTCCCAGTAAGATTTTGTCCTTCAGCTCACGGTGTTGTTGTCTCTCCGCAGTGCTGCTAACTCGTGCCCCTCCAGCCCGCGGGGTGCAGGCTCCTCGGGCTACAGGATGGGCGGGCGCATGGTCAGCTCCGCAGAGCTGCAGCTTATGAACGAGAACTCACAGCCCGAGAACGACAAAGACGCCTCCGGAGGGGACAGTCCCAAGGTGAGAGGAGGAGGAGGAGGAGGAGGGGCTGCCGGACAGACGACCTTTAAGTCTGAGCTTCTGTTCAACTTTTTAACTTCTCATCGCTTTGTCACATTTAGGGGGGCTGACGGCGCTACCTTAGTTCACCTGAGTCACTTCAAGTTCTTTAAGAAAATCCCACTCAAGCTAGTTAAAGTCTTTATGTGCAATTTTTCACACTTAAATATAATATAAATCCAATATATCCTCTGAAAATAACTCTGTGAGTCATGACTGTCTACAATGGGTGTAACACCCGAGTCCCACTGTCTGTGATGTTTTCAGAGTTTTCAGAGTCCTATCTTCAGTTTGTTTACATCGCCAGTACAGCGGCTGACTCCTCCCCTCGCGTATAAAAGTTGTTTAATTGAGGGACTAGAGAAAAGAAGAATAACATACTGTACTCACTGCTTAACTGTGTTTCTAGATCACGCTCATTTCAGGTAAATTTACATGCAGTGTGAAGATACCAGCATAATAAAGATCGCTAGCATTAGCATTCTAACACAACAATGCAGCGCGAGTTGTTTTAGTTTAATGCTGGTGCTCAAGGGCGACATCTGCTGGATCAAAAAATAAAGCCTTTAACAAAGTGTCTTTGATGTCACTGTTCTTGCTCAATCTGTTAAATATCAGGAGTTCTCATGCAAACACAGTCGAGTAGGACGAATCGCTGCCCTGCGCTCACACTGCTCCAGGACTAACAGCTGATGTTTTTTTTTTAAACTGGATTCATAAATCTGTCGTTCTCCACAGGATGACTCCAAACCTCCGTACTCCTATGCACAGCTGATCGTCCAGGCTATAACGCTGGCCACCGACAAGCAGCTCACACTAAACGGAATCTACAATCACATCACAAAGAACTACCCTTACTACAGGACCGCCGACAAGGGCTGGCAGGTGAGGACGCTCTGCACCGAGACCTCCATATGCATCTGTTTATCTAGTAACCTAAAAACAAGCTAAACCTTCTCCCCTCCCCCCGCCGCAGAACTCGATCCGTCACAACCTGTCGCTGAACCGTTACTTCATCAAAGTGGCGCGGTCGCAGGAGGAGCCGGGGAAGGGCTCGTTCTGGAGGATAGACCCGTCCTCGGAGGGGAAGCTCATCGAGCAGGCGTTCAGGAAACGAAGGCCCCGGGGCGTCCCCTGCTTCAGGACCCCACATGGACCTCTGTCCTCCAGGTACCCCGTTTGACCCCCCAACGTCTCATCTCTGAGTTAAAGCCAAATGTTTTATTTTGAGCTTTTACACCTTCTTCATTTCAACATCCTCACATTTCACTCACATTTTTTGTAACAATATCACCAAACTGTTACGATTGAACAGCATCACATTTTTAAGTCTTTAACCCGAGTCCTCTGTCTTGTCCCCCTTAAGGAGTGCCCCGGTGTCTCCCAATCACTCGGGCGTCCTCTCCGCTCACTCCAGCGGCGTCCAAACCCCCGACAGTCTGTCCCGAGAGGGCTCTCCGGTCCCCCTGGAGCTGGACACCTCCTCTGCTCCCGCTCTGGCCTCCATACCGGCGGTCGGGCCCAAACTGGCAGTCATCCAGGAAGCACGCTTTGCACAAAACACATCAGGTATTCAACACACATGATGATGCCCGATGTTTATCTTGTGAGCTCCATCTATCAAGTTCTGTCTCTGGTGTACTGAAGATCAAAACATTGCTCCTCGTGTCCTCCAGGCTCGCCTGTCAACAACCAGCCGGTACTCATAGCAGTCCAGCGTCAGTTACCTCAGACCATCAAGCCGGTGACGTACACCATGGCCTCCCCAGTGAGCACCAGCACCTCCCAGCCGGCGGTTCAGACGGTCCACGTCCTGCAGCAGATCCCTGCCGGCTCCCTCAGCCCCGCCGTCATCGCCCAGCAGGCCACCATCATCAACAAGAGCGAGCTGCAGGAGAACGGCGATCACACGGAGGTCAAAGGTACGAGGAAATGTTTGTATCCACCGATGATGACGGCTTGGTTAAGAATCTGACCCATCTGAGTGTCTACCTACCCACAAAGCATGAAATAAACCCAACCAGTCGTTTGTTTGTGGTCTGCATAAGTCTCAGAACACAGAGAAAAATGCTCTGTTAAAATTTGCTCTCCTTATGACATCACAGTGGGATTCTTGTAAAAAAAAAAAAAAAAAACTTACTTACTTACTTTGGAAGGTATTTGTATTATGAATTAATTTTTAAAAGCTTCATGTGTCCAAGAGAACATCTCTCCTCTCACCTCTGCTCTATGAAGAAGTTCCCTTCTGTCAGTTAGTTTGCCCGCCACATGAACGTCCCCTAAAGTCGCAGATTTATAAATTATTATTATTATTATTATTATTAAAATGTTTTCTCTCATCTTCTCAGTCAAAGTGGAGACGGTTCCCGGCATCGCCTCTATAGGCGGCTCAAGTCGCATCATCCAGAGCACCCAGTCGGCCACCCCCCTGCAGACCGTCACCATCGTGCAGCAGGCCCCCGTGGGTCAGCACCAGCTGCCCATCAAGGCCATCACACAGAACGGCACCCACAGCATCACCACTGCCATCCAGGGACCCATCAGCGCCGGTAAGGAACCCGCTTTGTTTTGTTTTGAAGGGGGTCTGTTGAATCTGGGCTTTTTGGATTAATGCAGCGGTTCCCAAACGTTATCTACTGCTCCCCGCCACCTTTGGCCGACACATTAACGTCTATCAACTAACTAAGAAGCAGCTTTTAAAAAGTGATTCTGCAACAATAGTCACAACAGTCATATCTTTTAAACAGATTTTATAAAGCAGGCTGATGAACAACGCCCCGTAAATAATTAGAAAAAGGATGAAAATCTTCTTTTAAGATGAACACTTTTAGTCCTCAGTGACAAGTTTGATCTTAGATCTTCTCTGGTGTGCAGCAGTAAAAAAATAATAGAGGCAGAAAAACGTCTCACACGGGCAGGATGTGTCAAAAGGAAGTGCGGTTTTCTTTATTACCCACCCAACAGGTGGAGCCCAAGGCGAGATATGACTTGTATTTTCTTGATTTTCTCATCTTTGGTTTAGTAGTTGTGACATCTGCTGTAGTTTCATTGTCAGCCTCATGTTACCCCCCTCCCCCTCCAAAAAAAATCTGCCACTACTATTTTCAATCCAACATTTCTGGACCAAAATAGTAAGTAATGTGGTGCAAAGAACACAAAGGTGTCAATCTACTTAGTGTCTATCTACTGACACTTCAGGGCTCCTGCTCCACATGTTGGTAAACCACCATGTAACAAAAAAGTAACCCCTCCCCCTTCCCCTCTCTCTCCTCCTCCTCCTGCTCAGCTCCAGTTGTGGCGAGCCCCCTCCACCTGCTGGCGGTCCACGCCTCCGCCTCGGCCTCCCTCCCCACCAAACGACAGAACGGGGACCAGGCAGCCAGCGAACAGCCGGACGCCAAGCGCAGCAAAACAGAGGCCGACGAGGCGGCCCAGCCCGCCGCCAGCGCAGACTCAGACTCGACCAACAACAACACCGGCAGCCACCTCGACTAGTCTCGACAACCCCACACAAAAACACCACACGACCCCCCTCCCCTTCCCCCCTTCACCATCACCACCTTCATCATCATCACCACCACCACTACCTTCTCCTCCTCCTCCTCCTCTCCTTCACGGTTGTTTCTCTCTTGTCCCTGTCGTTTCATTTTGTTTCTCCTTCTCCTTTTACCATTGACTCCCTGAGGTGCCAAACGGAGACGATTCTTTTCATTTCACTTCTGTTCAAGAGCGTCGAAAAAAGGAAAAGAAAGAAAGAAAAAAAAAAAAAAAAAGTCCACCCCTTTAAAGACTGGAACGTGGGTTGAGAACAAAAAAACAAAGAAGTCAAAGGTGTCCCCTGTGAGCCACTGAAACAGGAGAGTGACTTAAAAACACGACCACAGGAAGCCTTAACATTTAACCCCTTAAAGAGCTGACCTCAAGCGGGTGCAGCCGGGAAGGGGGGGGGGGGGGAGAGAGAGAGTCTGCTCGGGCCGGACGCCACCTTTCTGTCACATCTACCTCAGAGCAGATTGGAGACGCCGGCAGCCAGCGGAGAACCACCCCACCCACCCAACCCCGGGACCTGTCGGGGGGCGGCCTCTGGACCAACCAAGCGGGTGAGCGAGACGAGAATCAACGTTTAGAAAAACTAAAAAATCCAGAAAGGGATCAAACTCGGAGCCAATATTCCTGAAACTCTGGCAGCTAGCCTCTCACAATACTGACCTTCCTTTTATCGCAGCTGTACGTAGATATGCAGTATTTTGTTGTTCAAATGTGGAGCATAGGACATTTTTTTTAATGTATTTTCACTTATCTAGATAATTTAACGAAAAGGAAGCGTACAAAACGATGAGGTCGAAGACATTTCGGTAACTAAGTTAGACTTTTTTTTATATATATATATATGTGGACTTCCTTTTCTTTCCATTCGGTGAAACTGTACTAGTTTTTTTGTAACATTTGTTTCCTCTTTCTCCCCTCCCCCTCCTCCTCCTCGTTCTGACATATCCGTATAAAATCTTCGCTTAGTTATACCTACATATTTTAATACTTGCACAGATAACCGATATAAGCATATGAAATCTCCATGTGTAGTTCCAGATGTTGACCTTTGCATGTATCCGACAACAAGAGAAGTTGTAAACTGTAAAATTGAACAGAGGAAGAAAAAAAAAAGAGACCTGCTTTATCCAAACCAGACCTGCACTTGATTCAATGTTTGTGTTTTCATTTCCCTCCCTCTTCTCCTCCTCCTCCTTCTTCTTCTTCTTCTTCTTCTTTTTTTTTTCATGTTTCTCTCCCTCCCCTCCTGGCTGTGTTGACGTTGTGGTGTTGGCAGACCCTCACCCTCCCCCACCCCCTGTCTCTCCTTTTTCGCTTGATTATTTTTACTCTGTTCTGGCGGCCCGGCGAGTCTGTTTTCTGATTGTACACGTTCCAACAATAGTAAAAGAAAAAAAATTGATGTTTGTTCTGCTTCAGTGGAGAAATGCTTTTTTTTAAATAAATTAATTTAAAGCCCTTTTTCTGCGTCTTTTGAGTCTTAGGTGTCGGGCCGGCTGCCCCTGAAGTCCTCCTCGTCTGGTTGCTCACACATGCCGCTCACAGTGAAGGACGAAGCACAAGTAGACGTTACACATTAGTTATAAATGTCACCACATCTTCACACTCGTGAACGTTTGCGGCAGGCTAACGTCAGCTCACCCTGACTGCATTGATGCGCACTTGAGAACGTATAGAGGCTGTGCTCGGGGGTACCATGTTGGTCATACTGTTAAAGATTCATTTATAAGCAGTTCCACTCCTGCCCACAGGGGGGCAGCATATACGTGTGTTACAGAGTGTGTGACCGTTAGATAAGCTGCAGATTAACTTTGTCCTTTAACACAACATGGCTGAATCCTGTTGGCACACACCGGGCTCAGGTATTAAAACTTCTAAATCATATTGATATCACCAAAGAAACATAAATACAGGATGTTTTCAGTCCACCTGAGGGTTTTACAGTGACACAGCATCATGATGAACACCAGTATAAATACTAAATGTCTGCATAAATGCTTATTTACACCCATCAGCAGGTTACACAGACAAACATTAGAAACAAAAACATGGGGCAACATTTCTATTTTAATGCATTCCTCTTCTTGATTGGTTCATTGTGTTCTCACAGGCTGAATGTGTATTCCTCCCCCTCTGAATGCTGGTGGTAAAATGTACAAAATATAAAAAATAAATAGGATCTAAATTAATTAAAGTAGTCCAATTGAAAAAGGTTTAGAAATATGAGTACTTGTAGTTAAGGGGGCCGTTTTCAGCATCAAAGCCTCCTCATATCAGGTGACTCTTTATATTTAACTGAATCTTCTAGATTAAAGGTTGAAGGAAAGTACGGAGCTCCTAAAGTCCCAAAAAGTAAAACAATATATCTGCACACAAGTTAGAGGATGTGCTGTACACACAAAATAATTGTGTTGTGCACACTGAAGATTATTCTGCACAGAACATGTAGGAGTCTTTATTCCCTGTGTACCAGCTGCCATGATGTTCCTGGACAACAGAGGGCGCTGCAGCTGCAGACTGTAGCAGCTCTGCTCACTGACTCTTTTTTTTCTTCAGCCTTATGAGGCTCTTGATGCGTTTCTGAATAAACAGACATGCAGCGATGCTGAAACAATTACCCGGTTAGCGCCCCGTCGAGCTGCGACATTCCTCCTTTGTGTTGTAGGAGCTAAAAACAGCCGTGCGGTGTGTCGTAGGTGTTTCCTTCTCTGCACTTAAGGCTGTGAGCAGATGTGGTGGAATACACAAACACCTTCACAGCAATGATGAAACTCAGCAGACTTGTTGCACTAATATTTCAAACAATATAAAACCACTGGAGACCTGAGCTGATGTTTGGTTTACTTTTGATTTTCTTTGGAAGTTAAAAAACAGAGAACAGAGGGACGGCTTTGGGAATAAATCGATTTTCTTTGATGAGACAAAGAGATTATTCCTCCTTTAAAGTTTACTGAATGTTTTATATTTTATAGTTCATACAGTCAAAGGTCCAACCTGAGACAGCAGATGGAAACAAATATAGTCATCTGGTATTTTTCACTTCTTAAAGGTCACATATTATTCAAAATACTTTACCATCTTTTTAGAACACTAATATGTCTCTAGTCTGCCTACAGACCCCTCAATTATGAGTAAAAGTCCATCCTCTCCGTCTTCTGCCTGCTCCACTTTTCAGAAAATGTGTGCTCAAACAGACCGTTTGGAGATTTTCCCTTCATGACATCACAAAGGGCAGTAGCCCCTCCCCCAGATGGATGACACTCCCACAGCTAGGTGTTTGTTTTGCCTTCTGAGTCTGCCTTCTCACCGTAAACAATAGGACATGGAGTGAGAAAGCCCAAGGCATTCAAACCCTTCAGACACAGCTCATTTAAATATTTAAAGGTACAGACACAGAAACAGCCTGTTCTGAGCAGGGCAAAATGGAGAATAAACAAATGTTCTGACAGCAGTGATGGAGAAACTGACCGGGATGTTAATTAGCTGCAGGTTAATTGTTTGAGCTGCTACAGGAGAGCAGAGAAACTGAACCTTAATAATAGAGAGTATAAACTCTACAGTGATAAAGAAAGTCCGCGGGGAAGAAGAGGATTTACATAAATAAACATTAAGCACAGCTTGATGACATATCAACAGCGAGGGTGCTCATTAATGAAGGAGTGTGCGCCGACGGCTGTTTACACACAGATGGAGGCGGTGTGAGCAGGAGGCGGCTGTGCATCATTCATTCACACCACGAGCTGCGCTGCATTGGAACTAACATGTCTTTACATTACACTTATACATGTTTAAAGCTGCTTAGCTGTACCAGAGTTAGCAACAAGCTAATTTACATGTGTAGTCCCCGGGGCAGGAGACAGAGTATACACTAAAAACAACAATTCATAACCTGCAGCATCAAGTTCCTCCACATAAGACGTAAACAATACACTAATAATCCAATGGAAAGCTGCACGACAAAAATAGCCGGACCACATCATCAGATATCTCCAAAGCAACAACATCGACAACAACATCAAAACATCATCCGACAGAGTTCATGAAACGTCACAAGTTTATGTGTGATGAGGCGGTGATAGAGTTCATTTTAGACATGATTTCATCTTCAAATTAAATTTCAGGAAAGCTACAGCACTCTCTCTCTCTCTGAGTTCCCTCAGTATGGCGTTCCAGGGGTTAGTTTCTCTAATGGAGAGGATGGATTTGCTGAATTTAGAAGTCTCCTCTGTCGGCCGCCTATAGTTGTTGTTCTTCCTTGATCTAAACGCTGTCATATGTGAAGTCTTTTAAGCCGTTTTCACATATGCACACTCTATAAAATATCTAGATTATTTCAGGAGGACTGATCTGGAGTCCGCTATACGATGCTATAGTTATAATATTTGCCTTTAAAGGCTTTATGTGATTTTTTGGATCCAGCAGATGTCGCCCTTGAGCACCAGCCTGAAACCAAAACAACTCTTGCTGCATTGTTGTGTTAGCATGCTAATGCTAGCGATCTTTATTATGCTGGTATCTTCACACTGCATGTAAATATACCTGAAATGAGCGTGATCTAGAAACACAGTTAAGCAGTGAGTACAGTATGTTATTCTTCTTTTCTCTAGTCCCTCAATTAAACTACTTTTATACACGAGGGGAGGAGTCAGCTGGCTGTCCGGGCGATGTAAACAAAGTGAAGATAGGACTCTGAAAACTCTGAAAACATCACAGACAGTGGGACTCGGGTGTTACACCCATTGTAGACAGTCATGACTCACAGAGTTCTTTTCAGAGGATAGACTTGATTTCTGTTACATTTAAGTGTGAAAAATCACATATTAAGTCTTTAAATCAATGCTACGTGTCAACGGAATCACAACATCAACAAAAGAGTGGAGAACAGAAAACATAATGCAGCAGGTTGATTAGAGCAAGGAGATCGTAGCGGGCGCTCTATGCACCGTGTAGCAGTCACAGCATATAAGTGTCACTCTCCCTCCTATTGGCTCGAGGTGAATTCTCGATGCTGCTGCGTTCTCACATCAGCTCACTCGGACTTGCTGCAGAAAATAAACTAGGGGTCTTCAATTTCAACAAATTAAACAAATAAACTTTTTTGATATCAACTGACTCTTTGACGTAAAGAAATATTCAATCATTTCTTTGTTTTTCCGCTTGGCCCTCCAGCAGCAGACTTCTCAAGCTTTTTCAAAATAAGCCCGCTTATGTAACGGCCGCAAAACTGACGGTTCTGATGGACTGATAACCGGAGACATGAGAGCTCCTCTTGTCTGTGAGTGTGATAGAAACCAGGTTAAGAAGCAGCAGCGTGCATGGTGGGGGGAAGATTGCGAACACATTAGTGTTGCATCCACTGCTGCATGTGTAGGTGTTGTTGCCATAGAAACCAGGAGCTTACTGCAACTGTTGAGTGTTGATACTCTGGAAGCTGATGAAGAGTGCACCATCTGCCTACAAAAAAAAAAAAACACCCAAAATCTGCTCCGCATGATCATTCGTTCTCTTACTGATTAAAAAATCTGAATCATTTCTTTGTTTTTTAAAAGGACGATAATTTATCTAAAACAAAAGAAAAAAAAATGGACAATTTTGAGACATTTAAAAGCAGAGCCTGATGTCTTTTATTAGCTGGACTCTCAGGTCATGAGGCTGCTCGCTGTGTTTGTTCCCAGAGAAAAAACTATTCCAGGACTGTAATCCTCTGATAGCATCTACGCTCTGCATGTCAAGCTGTGGCGCCTTAAAGCTGCCGGACTCTCTGAGAACCGCTGCGGACAAAGCCTCGAGGCAGTGAGAGGCCATTAAAAGCTGAACCTTTTTGACATTGAATACTAGTAAAAAAAAAAGTCATGTTTAAAGACTTGAAGTGCATAAAACATTGGAGAAACCCAATCCTGCATGGTTACACAAAACCTCTCCCTCTCCCTCTTCCTCGTGGATTTTCCTCCTGTGATCCTGCTATTTTAAGAGACCAAATCCAGTTATTTGGTAATTATTGCAATCCCTGTTTTGACATAACATACCACAAAAACAACAAGCCTTTCAGTCCTCGCAGAGCTTATCGAGTTCATACCGATGTTTTTTTTTTTTTACCGATGCTCTTCTGTTTTTGTGTTGTCGTTTTTCTATTTTGCATGTTGATGCTAACTCTACTTCTTGGTAATCATTTTGTTTTTGCTTTTATTGATAGGACAGCTGAAGAAAGACAGGAAATTTGAGGAGGAGAGAGTGGGGTAGACTAGCATGAAAGGCCCATGGTTGAGACCTAAACCTGGAAAAGCTCAAAGGACAGTAGCCTCTGTATGCTATCTTGAAAGCCAAAGGATATAACCTGAGGGGTGAAGGAGCATTTGGGAGCAACTGTGGCCACTTCTGGCTTTTAAAAACCAACGTGGTGACGGCAGAAACATCGAGTACTTCTTCTTATTCAGTCTATGGAGGTGAGAAAAGGTGTTG